ATTAGCCCCAACCGAATCATGAGAAAATAATTTACCAAGAAACAGAGCAAACTGGAATGCTATTTGGCCGATAAATCTTGATAAACTTCCCTATCTATTGGGTGTAATACCACAGTGTGCCATCAGAGCAGCACGATTTGTGACCTGTTGCCACAAGAAAAGGGCAACCAATGAAGAACAAACACCATTGTAAATACAAGCCATATTTCTGTTTATTTATTTTCCCTTTTGTACTTTAACAATTTGCTCGTTGTTATAACACTGTACATAGCCATAATATGACATATGAAATGTCAATATTCCTTTCAAACGTTTGTGAATGTTTTTTGTTTTTTTTCCACCTTTATTTAACCAGGTAAACCAGTTGAGAACAAGTTCTAATTTACAACTGCGACCTGGCCAAGATAAAGCAAAGCAGTGCGATAAAAACAACAACACAGAGTTACATATGGGGTAAAGAAATCATAAAGTCAAAAATACAACAGAAAAAAATATATACAGTGTGTGCAAATGTAGCAAGTTATGGAGGTAAGGCAATAAATAGGCCATAGTGCAAAATAATAAAAATTTTGTATTAACACTGGAATGATAGATGTGCAAGAGATGATGTGCAAAAAGAGATACTGGGGTGCAAATGAGCAAAATAAATAACAATATGGGGATGAGGTAGTTGGGTGGGCTAATTTCAGATGGGCTGTGTACAGGTGCAGTGATCGGTAAGGTGCTCTGACAACTGATGCTTAAAGGTAGTGAGGGAGATAAGAGTTAGTGCAGTTCGTTCCAGTCATTGACAGCAGAGAACTGGAAGGAATGGCGGCCAAAGGAGGTGTTGGCTTTGGGGATGACCAGTGAGATATACCTGCTGGAGGGCATACTAAGGGTGGGTGTTGCTATGGTGACCAATGAGCTAAGATAAGGCGGGGATTTGCCTAGCAGTGATTTATAGATGACCTGGAGCCAGTGGGTTTGGCGACGAATATGTAGTGCGGACCAGCCAACAAGAGCGTACAGGTCACAGTGGTGGGTAGTATATGGGACTTTGGTCACAAAACAGATGGCACTGTGATAGATTACATCCAATTTGCTGAGTAGAGTGTTGGAGGCTATTTTGTAAATGACATTGCCGAAGTCAAGGATCAGTAGGATAGTCAGTTTAACGAGGGCATGTTTGGCAGCATGAGTGAAGGAGGCTTTGTTGCGAAATAGGAAGCCGATTCTAGATTTAACTTTGGATTGGAGATGCTTAATGTGAGTCTGGAAGGATAGTTTACAGTCTAACCAGACATTTTAGTCATTTAGCAGACGCTCTTATCCAGAGCAACTTACAGTTAGTGAATGCATACATGTGTTTGTTTTTTTCATACTGGCCCCCCGTGGGAAACGAACCCACTTCCCTGCCAGCCAAACCCTCCCCTACCTTGGACGACGCTGGAACAATTGTGCACCGCCCATGGGTCTCCCGGTCGCGGCCGGCTGCGACAGAGCCTGGACTCGAATCAGGATCTCTAGACCACTGCGCCACTCGGGAGTTCGACACCTAGGTATTTGTAGTTGTCCACATACTCTAGGTCAGACCCGCCGAGAGTAGTGATTCTAGTCGGGTGGGCGGGTGCCAGCAGCGTTCGATTGAAGAGCATGCATTTAGTTTTACTAGTGTTTAAGAGCAGTTGGAGGCTACGGAAGGAGTGTTGTATGGCATTGAAGCTTGTTTGGAGGTTTGTTAACACAGTGTCCAATGCCAGATGTATACAAAATGGTGTCGTCTGCGTAGAGGTGGATCTGAGAGTCACCAGCAGCAAGAGCGACATCATTGATATACACAGAGAAAAGAGTCGGCCCGAGAATTTAACCCTGTGGCACCCCCATAGAGACTGCCAGAGGTCCAGACAACAGGCCCTCCGATTTGACACATTGAACTCTATCTGAGAAGTAGTTGGTGAATCAGGCGAGGCAGTCATTTGAGAAACCAAGGCTATTTAGTCTGCCAATAAGAATGCGGTGGTTGACAGAGTCGAAAGCCTTGGCCAGGTCGATGAAGACGGCTGCGCAGTACTGTCTATTATCGATCGCGGTTATAATATCGTTTAGGACCTTGAGCGGGGCTGAGGTGCACCCATGACCAGCTCAGAAACCGGATTGCATAGCAGAGAAGGTACGGTGGGATTCGAAATGGTTGGTGATTTGTTTGTTAACTTGGCTTTCAAAAACTTTCGAAAGGCAGGGCAGGATGGATATACAGTGAGGGAAAAAAGTATTTGATCCCCTGCTGATTTTGTACGTTTGCCCACTGACAAAAAAATTATCAGTCTATAATTTTAATGGTAGGTTTATTTGAGCAGTGAGAGACAGAATAACAACAAAAAAACCCAGAAAAACGCATGTAAAATTTTTTATAAATTGATTTGCATTTTAATGAGGGAAATAAGTATTTGACCCCCTCTCAATTAGAAAGATTTCTGGCTCCCAGGTGTCTTTTATACAGGTAACGAGCTGAGATTAGGAGCACACTCTTAAAGGGAGTGCTCCTAATCTCAGCTTGTTACCTGTAGAAAAGACACCTGTCCACAGAAGCAATCAATCAATTAGATTCCAAACTCTCCACCATGGCCTAGACCAAAGAGCTCTCCAAGGATGTCAGGGACAAGATTGTAGACCTACACAAGGCTGGAATGGGCTACAAGACCATCGCCAAGCAGCTTGGTGAGAAGGTGACAACAGTTGGTGCGATTATTCGCAAATGGAAGAAACACAAAATAACTGTCAATCTCCCCCGGCCTGGGGCTCCATGCAAGATCTCACCTTGTGGAGTTGCAATGATCATGAGAACGGTGAGGAATCAGCCCAGAACTACACGGGAGGATCTTGTCAATGATCTCAAGGCAGCTGGGACCATAGTCACCAAGAAAACAATTGGTAACACACAACGCCCTGAAGGACTGAAATCCTGCAGCGCCCGCAAGGTCCCCCTGCTCAAGAAAGCACATATACAGGCCCGTCTGAAGTTTGCCAATGAACATCTGGAATGATTCAGAGGAGAACTGGGTGAAAGTGTTGTGGTCAGATGAGACCAAAATCGAGCTCTTTGGCATCAACTCAACTCGCCGTGTTTGGAGGAGGAGGAATGCTGCCTATGACCCCAAGAACACCATCCCCACCGTCAAACATGGAGGTGGAAACATTATGCTTTGGGGGTGTTTTTCTGCTAAGGGGACAGGACAACTTCACCGCATCAAAGGGACGATGGATGGGGCCATGTACCGTCAAATCTTGGGTGCGAACCTCCTTCCCTCAGCCAGGGCATTGAAAATGGGTTGTGGATGGGTATTCCAGCATGAATATGACCCAAAACACATGGCCATGGCAACAAAGGAGTGGCTCAAGAAGAAGCACATTAAGATCCTGGAGTGGCCTAGCCAGTCTCCAGACCTTAATCCCATAGAAAATCTGTGGAGGGAGCTGAAGGTTCGAGTTGCCAAACGTCAGCCTCGAAACCTTAATGACTTGGAGAAGTTCTGCAAAGAGGAGTGGAACAAAATCCCTCCTGAGATGTGTGCAAACCTGGTGGCCAACTACAAGAAACGTCTGACCTCTGTGATTGCCAACAAGGGTTTTGCTACCAAGTACTAAGTCATGTTTTGCAGAGGGGTCAAATACTTATTTCCCTCATTAAAATGCAAATCAATTTATAACATTTTTGACATGCGTTTTTCTGAATTTCTTTGTTGTTATTCTGTCTCTCACTGTTCAAATAAACCTACCATTAAAATTATAGACTGATCATGTCTTTGTCAGTGGGCAAACGTACAAAATCAGCAGGGGATCAAATACTTTTTTCCCTCACTGCAGGTCTGTAACAGTTTGGATCTAGTGTCACCCCCTTTGAAGAGGGGGATGACCGCGGCAGCTTTCCAATCTCTGGGGATCTCAGACGTTACAAAAGAGAGGTTGAACAGGCTAGTAATAGGGGTTGCGACAATTTCGGCTGCTATTTTTTAGAAAGAAAGGGTCCAGATTGTCTAGCCCAGATGATTTGTAGGGGTCCAGATTTTGCAGCTCTTTCAGAACATCAGCTGTCTGAATTTGTGTGAAGGAGAAGCGGGGGGGGGGCATGGGCAATTTGCAGCTGAGGGTGCAGAGCTGGTGGCCGGGGTAGTGGTAGCCAGGTGGAAAGCATGGCCAGCCGTAGCAAAATGCTTGTTGAAATTCTCGATTAATGTAATGTTTACTGTTAATTTTTGATTGTTTATTTCACTTTTTGTTTATTATCTATTTCACTTGCTTTGGCAATGTAAACAAATGTCTACCATGGCAATAAAGCCCCTTAAATTGAATTGAATTGAATTGATTTGAGAGAGCGAGAGGAAGAGAGGCAGAAGGGTGGGGGAGGGGGAGGGGGAGAGGGAGGGGGAGGGGGAGTGGGAGTGGGAGGGATTGTGTGAAAGAGAAGGAGAAGGAGAAAGACATGAGAGAATTAGAAAACAGAGGCAGGGACTGAGCGGTACAGACAAGACAGACAGTGTTCCGAACCTTCATTGGTTTGAATGGTGTCAGCAATTTTTTATCCGTGTATTCTTTTGAACTTAACAACATGAATTGGGGTATTTAGAGTACTATATAGTTAGAGAACATTGAACAGAACAAGGCTATGTCAATAACTACATTTTGACTAAAATGCAGATAGAACCTTATAGTCCCAAGCTCTCGTACTGTGTGAGAGAAACAGAGGGAAATGAAGGCAGAGAGACAGAGAGGGAGATAGGGAGAGAGAACGCAAGTGCAGTGATGAGAGGGGGAGCAGGGTGGTAGAGCAGAGAGAGAGGGAGGGAGGGAGACACAGACTGCTCAGCTGACTGAAGCAGAGCTGGGAGACGGGGCACGCCTGGCCTGAAGAAGGGCTACTCTTCTCTCATTACTAAGCCAAACACACACACAGCCAGGGAGCCGGGATAGAATCCTAGGGAGACAGAGTGAGCGCCTGCCGACCTGCAGCCATGGCTAACATGGGTGAGTAGAAAAACCCTTTCTGAAAACCACCCTTACAGCGTGTGCATGCTAATGAGTGCATTTAGCAGTGGAGGCGTTGACAATATTTGGAGCAGGGTGGGGATGTACAGTACAGCAGGGATCAACAAGGATGTAGCTCAGGCTAGATTCCAGGAGACAAGGTGTTTCGTTTCCTGTCTTGTGTTTAAAGGTCATAGTAACATAGGCTGACATTACCGGCTCAGGTAAACCCGTTGGGATAGAGAGAGGGTGCAGGGGGCTGTTGCCATAGAAACCCCGGGAGACAGGGCGAGGAGGGGAGAGAGAGCCGGGAGGGCTGGAGATGTCTAAATGGAAGCACACTCCCACTGGGCACACACTGGTTGAATCAACATTGTTTCCACGTAATTTCAATGAAATTACGTTGAACCAACGTGGAATTAACATTGAATTGACGTCTCGGGGGGACAGATTAACACTCTGCTGTAGGCAGCATTTCCCCTGTCTAGACACACATGCACACACATATACACACACACTGAGTGACAAATGGAAACAGAGGAACGGGGGTCTCTATGGTAATTGACACTGTGCATATAACCCTGATAGCCCCCCACTGCAGGTTCTATTTCCACACTGCTTACCAGGGATTAGCCAAGGTGATTACTCTCTGTGCTGTGGCTCTCTCTGTGGCTCTGCTCAGAAAGTGTGTGTTGACGGAACAGCACAGAGGACAGCTGACTGTCACACCCACACATTGACAAGGCTCTGTCTTTCTCTCTGCTCTCAAGTCAAGGGTTCTAGGCTATTTTTTTGTTCACATGGCTTTATTTTCAGATTGGTTAAATGAAGTTGGAAAGTGATTTACGGCCAAGATTATAGTAATCAATAACAGTCTTGGCTCCAAAGTAATGTATGAACAGCGCCGGAGAAGATGGCTGCCGTTTTACAGCCCTCTAACCAATTGTACTATTATGTGTGTTTTTCCGCGTTATTTGTAATTTATTTTGTACATAATGTTTCTGCCATCGTCTCTTATAACCAAAAAGAGCTTCTGGATATCAGGACAGTGATTACTCACCTCGTATTGGACGAAGATTTTTTCTTCAACGAGGCGTCCCCGAAGGATATCATACAGACACCCGACAAGGCCCAAATCCCCGTCATTCGCGTGAAGAAGAGACGGAGATATCGTGGACGCAGATCGGGGTGCCTTGTAAGGATCCGACGGCGAGCGAGTAAACTGCCTCTTCCATCAATCCTATTAGCCAACGTTCAATCTTTTGAAAATAAAGTGGACGATTTAAGATTACGGTTATCCTACCAACGGGACATTAAAAACTGTAATATATTATGTTTCACCGAGTCGTGGCTGAACGACGACAATGATAACATTCAGCTAGCAGGCTATACGCTACATCGGCAGGACAGAACGGCTGACTCTGGTAAGACAAGGGGTGGCGGTCTGTGTATATTTGTAAACAACAGCTGGTGCACAAAACCAAATACTAAGGAAGTCTCGAGGTTTTGCTCGCCTGAGGTAGAGTATCTTATGATAAGCTGTAGACCACACTATTTACCAAGAGAGTTTTCATCTATATTTTTCATAGCTGTCTATTTACCACCACAAACCAATGCTGGCATTAAGATTGCACTGAATGAGTTGTACAAGGCCATTAATCAACAGGAAAACGCTCATCCAGATGCAGCGCTCCTAGTGGCCGGGGACTTTAATGCAGGGAAACTTAAATCCGTTCTACCTAATTTCTACCAGCATGTTAAATGTGCAACCAGAGGGAAAAAAACTCTAGACCACCTTTACTCCACACACAGAGACGCATACAAAGCTCTCCCTCGCCCTCCATTTGGCAAATCTGACCATAACTCTATCCTCCTGATTCCTGCTTATAAGCAAAAACTAAAGCAGGAAGCACCAGTGACTCGGTTAATAAAAAAGTGGTCAGATGACGCAGATACTAAGCTACAGGACTGTTTTGCTAGCACAGACTGGAACATGTTCCGGGATTCTTCAGACAGCATTGAGGAGTACACCACATCAGTCACTGGCTTCATCAATAAGTGCATCGATGATGTCGTCCCCACAGTGACCGTACATACATACCCCAACCAGAAGCCATGGATTACAGGAAACATCCGCACTGAGCTAAAGGGTAGAGCTGCCGCTTTCAAGGAACGGGACTCTAACCTGGACGCTTGTAAGAAATCCCGCTATGACCTCCGACGAACCATCAAACAGGCAAAGAGTCAATACAGGTCTAAGATTGAATCGTACTACACTGGCTCTGACGCTCGTCGGATGTGGCAGGGCTTGAAAACTATTACAGACTACAAAGGGAAGCACAGCCGCGAGCTGCCCAGTGACACAAGCCTACCAGACGAGCTAAACCACTTCTATGCTCGCTTCGAGGCAAGCAACACTGAAGCATGCATGAGAGCACCAGCTGTTCCGGATGACTATGTGATCACGCTCTCCGTAGCCGATGTGAGTAAGACTTTTAAGCAGGTCAACATTCACAAGGCCGCAGGGCCAGACGGATTACCAGGACGTGTACTCCGAGCATGTGCTGACCAACTGGCAAGTGTCTTCACTGACATTTTCAACATGTCCCTGACTGAGTCTGTAATACCAACATGTTTCAAGCAGACCACCATAGTCCCCGTGCACAAGGACTCTAAGATAACCTGCCTAAATGACTACCGACCCGTAGCACTGACGTCTGTAGCCATGAAGTGCTTTGAAAGGCTGGTCATGGCTCACATCAACAGCATTATCCCAGAAACCCTAGACCCACTCCAATTTGCATACCGCCCCAACAGATCCACAGATGATGCAATCTCTATTGCACTCCACACTGCCCTTTCCCACCTGGACAAGAGGAACACCTACGTGAGAATGCTATTCATTGACTACAGCTCAGCATTCAACACCATAGTGCCCTCTAAGCTCATCACTAAGCTAAGGATCCTGGGACTAAACACCTCCCTCTGCAACTGGATCCTGGACTTCCTGATCCTGGACTTCCCCAGGTGGTAAGGGTAGGTAACAACACATCTGCCACACTGATCCTCAACACGGGGGCCCCTCAGGGGTGCGTGCTCAGTCCCCTCCTGTACTCTCTGTTCACCCATGACTGCATGGCCAGGCACGACTCCAACACCATCATTAAGTTTGCCGACGACACAACAGTGGTAGGCCTGATCACCGACAACGATGAGACAGCCTATAGGGAGGAGGTCAGAGATCTGGCCGTGTGGTGCCAGGACAACAACCTCTCCCTCAACGTGACCAAGACAAAGGAGATGATTGTGGACTACAGGAAAAAAAAGAGGACTGAGCATGCCCCCATTCTCATCGACGGGGCTGTAGTGGAACAGGTTGAGAGCTTCAAGTTCCTTGGTGTCCACATCACCAACGAACTATCATGGTCCAAACACACCAAGACAGTCGTGAAGAGGGCACGACAAAGCCTATTCCCCCTCAGGAGACTAAAAAGATTTGGCATGGGTCCTCAGATCCTCAAAAAATTCTACAGCTGCACCATCGAGAGCATCCTGACTGGTTGCATCACCGCCTGGTATGGCAACTGCTTGGCCTCCGACCGCAAGGCACTACAGAGGGTAGTGCGTACGGCCCAGTACATCACTGGGGCAAAGCTTCCTGCCATCCAGGACCTCTATACCAGGCGGTGTCAGAGGAAGGCCCTCAAAATTGTCAAAGACTCCAGCCACCCTAGTCATAGACTGTTCTCTCTGCTACCGCACGGCAAGCGGTACCGGAGTGCCAAGTCTAGGTCCAAAAGACTTCTCAACAGCTTCTACCCCCAAGCCATAAGACTCCTGAACAGCTAATCATGGCTACCCGGACTATTTGCACTGCCCCCCCACCCCATCCTTTTTATGCTGCTGCTACTCTGTTAAGTATTTATGCACAGTCACTTTAACTACATGTACATATTACCTCAACTACCTCAACTAGCCGGTGCCCCCGCACATTGACTCTGCAACGGTACCCCCCTGTATATATAGCCTCCCTACTGTCACTTTATTTTACTTCTGCTCTTTTTTTTCTCAACACTTTTTTTGTTGTTTTATTTTTACTTTTTTTGTTTAAAATAAATGCACTGTTGGTTAAGGGCTGTAAGTAAGCATTTCACTGTAATGTCTGCACCTGTTGTATTCGGCGCATGTGACCAATACAATTTGATTTGATTTGATTTGATTTAATTTGTCTATAAGTAGACTGTATGGGGAGACCAATGGAGAGCCTGAATGGCGAGACCGCCCCCATACACACACGCCGAACGCACGCACACAGTGTCCCCTGTCACAACAACATCCTCATGCAGGAAAGTGTGTGACGTGACAAAACATGCACCAAGCGGTCAGATATTTGCTAGCTGGAGGGGACAGAGGCATGTTCGAGGAATGATGTAAACATGCACCTCCCCCCCCTTCTCTCCCTTCTACTCCTAGCCTCTGGCATGGGGGATACCATCGCCAGCCACCCCCTCCCTGTCTCCGATGTAAAATGGCATGATGCGACTTGATCTCTCTGCCTGTGTATTCATATATTCATGTCACTCTGGTCCTGTACAGTATGTTTTGTTGAGGTGCATTGCAGCAACATTTATTTGCAATCACTGCAGTGTCTTTGGGGGAGTCACTTGTCCAGAAATATTCAGAATTAACATAAAAACAGCGTTACTGTAGCCTGTGTTGGTTTGCATCTATTGACAGTAGGCAGGATGATGAATGAGGAAATACATTTATACCATTATGGACGTGTATGCGCATTTGCAAGCCACTATGAGATTGGAAAGCCTGAAGGTTCATGAGGGGTTTCAGTGTAGATATTTATGTGTGGGTGTGTATACAAGATCAGAATGTACAGTACCAGCATGTATTATATCTACAGGAATATTATGTAGTATATGTAAGCAGTGTAGTTGTTCTGCAGAAGGATATGACTAATATATGATGTGTGCGTGCGCGTGCCCGTGCCCGTGTGTGTATGTGTTGCAGACACTCTGACAGAGGCACTGAATGCCATCAGTGTGAGCACCGAGCTGGTAGAGCAGGAGCTGAAGCCTCATCTGGACACCCTGCTGGCTGTGCTACTGGACAAGAGTGAGTCTGTACTCTACACACACACCAGTAGACACTGACCTCGGACTCATCAATCTCACTCCTGCCCTGTTCCCAGCAGTCAGCTTTTATGACATTGCTTTGGCCATGGCAAGCAAGGCCAGATCATTTAGAAACGATATATCGTCTCAGCTTCAATTATCTCAACATATTTATCATGTTGTTTAGGAATCTATCGTTCCCCCTTTTTTGATTTTCTGGGCTGAGGCACAAGTTCTCTTTTTAAAAAATCATATTTTGGATGCCTGGCGTAGTCTTGGCCCAAATCTTCAGCTATAAAAAGACTGAGTGTTGCAGCAGTGTTCAGAACACCCCTGCTGTTTCTCATCTGTATTCATTAAACATCACAGTGCTGTGAAGAGGGGGAGGGGGGATCGGAGAGAAAGAATGAAAGGAAGGAAGTGTGAGAGTGACAGGTCAGGTTATTCTCCATCTCTCCCTCTTTCTGGTTCGGCAAATATCCAATTTATATGAGGTTGCACTGTGCACGGGCAGCCACATTTGGTTCTCCTCAAAAACGGGCAAGGGGACATTATTACCATAGCAGCGTGGCCTAGTGCCTGACAACCTGACCTGCCTCCTCGGCAGTTGTGACATTCTCTGAAAGGGGAAATGCTAATATTAAGTTTTCCTCTGTGTCTATTGCATGTTGCTGCTTTAATAATCACAATGAATCTCCCTCCTAAGCTCAACAGAGGAGGATTCAATTTTAGTTTCTCTCTCTGGTCTCCTCCTGACATCACAGAGGTGTTAGAGTCATTGTTAATTGTAGAGAGGAGAAGAGAGAGGAAAGCCAAAGACAACCGGTGCACTCAGTGATCCTGATCAATCTCATCAAAGAGAAGAGACTTGGCACAGGAAATGGCATTACATCTAATGCTGGGACACTTTCATTAGCAAAAGTTGTGTCTGAGTTCATTTCTGGTTAACAATTAGCTGGTTTGTCTATAGGTCAATAAAGATTATTTATGTTACTATAAAGCCAATTGTCATTTTCTGTCTTCAGTTCAATTCCATTCTATTGTATCTCAATGCTAAGGGGTAGTTGACATATAAGTGTGTGTATGATCTGTCCCCAGAGAAGGGAGCTGCTGTGGAGATCGCCTCCAGTGGGATCCTTCCCATCCTAGCCCAGTCCCTCAGGGAGAAGAGTCCTCTCACCAACCAAGTGGCATTGGTGGTGGCAGAAATGGCCAGGGAAGGTGAGTTGAGATGCCAGCCCGCGAAGAACGGATGATTACCAATCTGAGTTTAATGGAGAGAACCAAGCCCTTAATCACTACTACTCTGACTCGCACTGTGTTTGAAAATAAAATAAGTTCATTTTGCTATGGATGGCTGTAATCAGACAATTTCCATTGATGGACAGTTTTGACAGAACAGTGGTGTCTGTGCAACCTCACCTGCTCCTACTCATTACCTATCAACTAATATTCATGACCTCTACTAAGTACCCACAGGGCACAGATGTCAATTCAACTGTTATTCCACGTTGGTTCAACGTCATTTAATTGAACTGACGTGGAAACAACGTTGATTCAACCAGTGTGTGCCCAGTGGGTACTTGAGGTTCAAAGTGCCCTTTCAAAATAAGTTATGCTAATGTTCTCTTTTAATTAACTTTATGTAGATGATATCTATGCACAATATATGTTACTGATGTGCCCTATACTTCCTTCACTATCCTTTGTTCTTTAATCTATATATATTTTTCTTAAAGCAGAACTTCTGCCACTGACTTATATGCATTCTGTACCAACCCTAAACCAAAAATGAGGGGGTGGTTTTGGTTATCACTCAATGACAGCAGCAGGAGTACTTTTCATTTGCATCTAGCAAGATCCAGTCCTCTATTTACAAACACAACAATGCCATAGGCTTACTGTGGGTAGAAACAGAGATTAAGGAAATGCTGTCCCTGTGTTCCAGCGGCGGTGAGGGACCCGTGCATTGATGCGGGCCTCGTGACGGTTCTGGTGCCCCTGCTGAACAGTGCAGACGAGGAGCTGCTGCTCCACACTGGCAGAGCCATCGGACGCATCTGCTTCGACAACAGTGAGTGAGACTGACTCCTGCAGGCCGGGACCTTCCCAGGGGGAATCAGGCTTTACCTGCGGTGACAGGATAAATCTGAACCAGAATCTGCCTACTAAATGAATATGTCCTGGTGGATTTGGTGTGTGTGCCTCCACGTCTCTATGTCTATTTATCTCAGTCTCCATTACTCTCTACCTCCTTCTCTCCCTTCCCCTTTCATCTCTTTCCTCCTCCCTCTCTCAGCGGCCCAGCAGGATCAGCTAGTGCAGTGTGGGGTGATCCCCAGGCTGGTAGCCATCATGAGGGAGAACCTAGAGAACGACCCACTGGTCAACGTGTGTCTGCTGGCCCTCTGTAACCTGGCTGACATGGGTGAGTCAAATCAGAGGAACTTTAGTATACTCTAGAGAGGGTCACAGAGGGGACCGACTGGGCACACACTGGTTGAATCAACGTTGTTTCCACGTCATTTCAATGACATTACATTGAACCAACCCGGAATAGACGTTGAACTGACGTCTGTAGCCAGTGGGGAGGAAAGCCTGTTTGTTTTTGGTTACATTTCTGAACCAAAATTGCGTGCTTGTCTCATTTGTTTACTTGGAGCGGCAGGTAGCTTAGTGGGTAAGAGCGTTGTGCCAGTAACCGAAAGGTCGCTGGTTCTAATCCCAGAGCCGACTAGGTGAAAAATCTGTTGATGTGCCCTTAAGCAAGGCACTTAACCCTAATTGCTCCTGTAAGTCACTCTGGATAAGAGCGTCTGCTAAATGACTAAAATGTAAATATACTGACTTGAACCAGTTATTGTGTTTCTCACATCTTATCTGTGAATGAAAATTGTTTCTTAACTGACAGGCCTGGTTAGACAAAGGTGTCCATTTAAAAAAGTGGTCTCTGACCCCTGCAGACACGACGCGGGAGGCGCTAGTAGAGGTGGGCGTGGCAGAGGTGCTGACGGCCCAGCTAAAACGGGCTACTGACGCAGAGAGAAGACACATTATACTGGAGGTGCTGGGATCACTGGGAGAGAATGGTGAGTCTGGGCAAGGGCCTGAATGTGGTCATTCAAATGATTATCATTTATACAGAAACGGATGAGATGAAATAGGCTGCAAGTGAGGCTTAAGCTTTTCACATGGAGGGTTGAATGAATGTGTGCTCAGACTAACACACCCCTCCTGTGCTGCTGTTGTCAGACGTGCTGAAGCTGCAGTTTGTGGAGTCGGGGGTTCCTGAGGCTCTGTCTGAGATGATTCGAGGTCTACAGGGCGGCTCTGACCCCCATGACCTCTGCAGCATCAAGATCGCCTCTAACCTTATCGTTTCTCTCCTGCTGGGAGGTAAAGAACTCAACCTGACCTGGAGGCACCAGAATCCCTCTATGGTCCTCCCCTTGAACCTAACCCCATAGTCCATGCCTCACTCACACACACCCCTTCACTGTCTGTCAGCTCACATCACTCAATTTGATTGATGTTTGATTCCGTATGTAATCGAGCTAAAATACTCTCAAACTAAGAATACTATTTTACTCATAAAAATCAGGCCATGTGATGTGTTGATGATGATAATGATGTTGATGATGATGATACATGGTTTTCTTGTTTCTTTGTCTTTTGTCTGTTTCGAGTTCTTTGCTAAATGAAATATTGATCACAAAACATGGATAATTGGTGGTTGACTAGTTTGATGTGCTGACTGTCCCTGTGTGCTGTGTTTTGGTGCATTAGATGAGTCCATGCAGAAGTGTTTCGGCGAGGGCACGGGGGTGGTGTACCAGGACGTGCTCTCCTGGCTGCAGTCCTCCAACACTCAGCTACAGCTCTCTGGAGCCCTGGCCATCGCCAACTTTGCCAGGAACGGTGAGATGACAAAATGCCTTCAGATTGACTTATCTGCATTGACTGCTTTGGTTTTGACATGAGAATGGATTCTCATCAGTCTCTGATGTTCTAAAGCCCAAATTATATTACCTTATCACCTCTCTCCTCTCTCTCTCTCTCTCTCTCTCTCTCTCTCTCTCTCTCTCTCTCTCTCTCTCCCTCCCTCCCTCCCTCCCTCCCTCCCTCCCTCCCTCCCTCCCTCCCTCTCTCCCTCCCTCCCTCCCTCCCTCCCGCTCCCGCTCCCTCTCTCTCTCTGTCTCTCTCTGTCTCTTTCACCCTTCTCAGACAGTAACTGTGTGAAGATGTTGGAGCTGGGGGTGGTTCCTCATATCCTGACCCTGCTGGAGCAGCATGTGGACGAAGGCGACGTGTCCGTCCAGCATGCCGGATTGAGCGCACTCAGAAACCTGGCGATCCCAGGTATATAGTAGGATGGATAACCACAAACACACATGCACACGCACGCACTCACACACACACACACACACACACTGACCCCACTGAACCCACCACTGAATGACAAACTGGCAGCGGAAAATGTATCACTAATGTGATTATCTTGTGAGCTCTTCTTACACTGAGGACTCTCAGCTCTAAGACCACTGTGACCCCTCTTCTACCTGGTGTTTCAGCCAGTAATAAGGTGAGGATGCTGGAGGATGGGGTGACAGAGAGAATTAGGACCTTGCTGCGCTCTGACATGCCCCCAGTGCAGTTCAAACTGCTGGGCACCCTGCGCATGATGGTGGATGGACAAGGTGAGTGGGAAAGGTGTATGGTGAAGGAAAATAGGATGTGTGCTTAATGTAGAGGTCTGGGTTATACTGTATGTGACTAAACTAAAATATAGGCAAAATGCATGTATCTAGTGCAGAGGTAATTGAATGTGTGTGGGACTCATCTAATGCACCAAACATAGCACACAGGGACAGTCAGCACATCAAACTAGTCAACCACCAATCATCCATGTTTTGTGATCAATATTTCATTTAGCAAAGAACTCGAAACAGATAAAAGACAAAGAAACAAGAAAACCATGTATCATCATCATCAACATCATTATCATCATCAACACATCACATGGCCTGATTTTTATGAGTAAAATAGTCCATAAGACTCCTGAACAGCTAATCATGGCTACCCGGACTATTTGCACTGCCCCCCCACCCCATCTTTTTACGCTGCTGCTACTCTGTTAATTATTTATTTATAGTCACTTTAACTCTACCCACATGTACATATTACTTCAACTACCTCAACTAGCCGGTGCCCCCGCACATTGACTCTGCACCGGTACCCCCCTGTATATATAGCCTCCCTACTGTTATTTTATTTTACTTCTGCTCTTTTTTTCTCAACACTTTTTTGTTGTTTTATTCTACTATTTTATTAAAAATAAATGCACTGTTGGTTAAGGGCTGTAAGTAAGCATTTCACTGTAATGTCTGCACCTGTTGTATTCGGCGCATGTGGCCAATAACATTTAAGGGAATCACCACTCTGAGTCTGCTTTCTCACTTCACCTCTCTCCTTTCTCTGTGGTTCTCTTTCTACATTCTTCAATCTCCGTTCCCTTAACTCCTCTCCCCGCAACTCTCTCTAATCCTTTCATTGTTTCTTTCCCTCCCTTTCTCTCTGTCTCTCTGTCTCTCTCTCTCTATCGTTCCCTCCCTTTCTCTCTGTCTCTGTCTCTCTCTCTTTCTCTCTCTCTCTCTCTCTCTCTCTCTCTCTCTCTCTTCTCTCTCTCTCTCTCTCTCTCTCTCTCTCTCTCTCTCTCTCTCTTTCTATCCCTTTCTAACCAACATATTTCTCTCATCTCTACTCTCTCCCCTCACTCAATCTCTCACACCCCCTCTCTATCTCTGACTCTCTCCTCCTCCACTCGCTCCTCTCCTCCTCTCTCAGAGGAGGCAGCTGCAGTGCTGGGTAAAGATGAGGTTTTGTTGGCGAGGATCATGGAGTGGTGTGAGGCACGGGACCATTCAGGGGTCAGGGGAGAGGCAAACCGCCTCCTGGCCGCCCTTATTAGACACTCCCGTGCCCCAGTGAGTCACTCACACACACGCATGCACGCATGCACGCACACACACACACACACACACACACACACACACCATACAAACATACAGTATGTAATCTTCATCTCTTCTAGAGGCTGATTCTCTCCCTTCCGACTCTGACAGGAAGTAATCAACGCTGTAACCAAAGCAGATGGGGTGCGACACCTCATCTCCATGGCAACCAGTGAACACTTGATCATGCAGAATGAAGCACTGGTGGCCATGGCGATTGCATCTGCCATTGACATCGGTGAGGGATTCTACTATCCTATGAGAGCAATCAGATGGAAAGATCAACACATCTAAAGCTATCCTTTGGACTAACAGAACGTAGCTAGATACAGGTTTACTGACAGTAACCAAAACTAATATATTTGTAATAATATCAATATATATTTTACAATGGTGAATTACTGTAAGCTCTTTTTAGGTTATACTAATTCCCCTGCATACCAATGTACAATACCATGATGTACTTCCTGTAAATGAGAGACTAACACACTCTCCTTGCATGTGTGCGTGTAACATGTCCTGCTGTTTTCCAGACTCCATGCAGGAATCATTCCGGGAGGCAGAGCTCTTGCCCACACTGCAGAAGATGCTGGATGACCCAGTAGGGGCGGTGGAGTTCAAGTTCAGCGCCCTAGGGCTTATCTGTAGCCTGGCCAACTCCAGTAGGTACCCCACCCACGCACGCACGTGCAAACACACACACGCACACACTCATGTTCTCTCGCTCCTTCTTTCTCTCTCTCACTCTCTCTCTTTATCTCTGTCTCTATACTTCTCTCTCTTAGGCTCGATGAAGGAAGAAATGGAATCTCTTAACCTGAAGGAGACACTCAACAAGCTCTCTGGTCACTCCAGCACCAAGCTAGCCACACAGGCCGACACAGTGCTGGCCATGCTTTCTGAAACCAGCTAGACTGACCTGACCGGACCACTGCCCTGGTCAATGTGACCACAGACTCTCAGTACCACGTGCCACCGCAACCTCCCCTACTCTCGTAACTACACCATCCTCTCCATCAACCGCACTTCACCAGATAACAACCCATCCCTCGTTCTGACAGATGAGAAGGGGTGGAGGGTTTGAAAAGAAGCAGATATTGAGTCTTCCAAAGCTGGGCCTCCATTCGCCTGGCCTATGGAGAGCACAGTTGGACATAGCTATGTTAGGACTGACCAACCCAATCTGACAAAGAGCTAACAAGGTGATAGCATATGTTCTAAGCACAAGCTGAATGAGCCAACCCATGAAAACGCACACGAATCACAACATCCCCGTGTTTATGTGTGAAATAGCTACTCTAATCAGTACACCAATCAATTCAATGTATGTATGATTTCCTATAACGACCAGTGTATATTATCAAAGGAAATGTTTGCGAATGTATGTGCTATAGTGTTAATCATGGCTACTGTTTCATAGCATCTAATGTGCTTACCCTCAATGGAAAACATAAAACTAAAGTCTGACACTGTTTCTTAATGTGATGTTCTATCTATGCTCTATATTGACCAATGTACATGGATGTAAATGTTCCTAGACTATGACCATACCTGTCTCTTTTCTGTGGATCTTGCATAGTGAGATCCCCTTGGTAATATCTACAGTGTATAGCTCAAGAAAAGCATTCAGAGCCAATATCTCAATTGCGATATTATACCAAAGTACATTCTAATTCTAAGTTATGTTAGAGCACAGGTGGGTGGGCACTGGGGGTAATCATTACAGAGTTGTGAGAGTGTCAGGCAGCTCTCCCACTGGGTGCCAGCTCTAACATTCTGACTAAAAGGGATCAATATGTTATGCGGATGCTGGGGCAGCAAAGGGCTTGTGGTGAAGGGACCTTTAATGTTGCTCTCAGATCCCTGCTGATTCAACTCCTTTTAACACCAATTTCTTAAGGTGTCTAAAGCCCAATGGTGACTGGCTGGCTATTTTAAAAGGATTAATATAGAAAATAGCAACTGAAAACAGTACTCTGTCTGTCTTTCCTTTTTAGTACCCAATGGGAGCTGAGTTGTTGTTGTTGAATTGAAGCATTTCATTCCAAAACGCTATATATACATTTGTAAATATGTTGGTAATTATGAAATTATGAAAGAGATTGGTATGTTTTCTCACTATCTAATCATGGCATATGGTTGTTCAATGACAGAGATGTATTTGTTTAAAATCTATAACTTTTTCATTTCAGAGAGACACATAATCATGTTTTTTTTCAAAATGCTAACAAATATGTAACAAATAACGACATTTTTAATAAAGAAATGTACAAATAATACTTTTGTGACAAAAATATTATTTTATTTTTTAAATAAATAATTCAATACAATAATATGTATGTAAAACATTTACATTTGACATTTTTGTCATTTAGCAAATGCTCTTATCCAAAGCGACTTACACCAACTGCATTCATCTTAAGATAGCTCGGTGAGACAACCACATATGACTGTCAAATATACAGGATACGAACATTCCATTCCAGCTAATGGATATACTGTAAGGCGTTTAGCAAAAAACACATTTTCTTATACATCTAAAATCTATGAATTATATACAAATCTGAGAATAGTAATATTTTACACACACATGAAGGTACCCATAAGCAATCATTTCTGATGAAAAAACACGAATGTGAAAAATTTGTGGATATAGCGTTTTGGAAATAAACTCTTCAATTGATCTTTGAAATAACAACGTTGGTGTTTTAATAAAAAGGATGGCTTACAGAAAAAACTGGCAATGGCCTGACTCTTTTCTGTTCATTGGAGTATGTATGACTGAATGTGGGTGTGTTTCAGTTCTCAAAAATACTTCCTGTCCTAGTCTCCTTTTCTTCATATGCATATCTGAAAACATAGGACAGGTTAAGCAATTTGGAGGAAGGCTACTGGTCATTTTCTTTCTCCAGTCCAATACTTTCAGTTCAGTATGGGTCTGCCGTCTGCTTGTCATTTTTCCAAACAAAATGGCTGCCCTTCTCGTTCTGCTAGCGTACTCGGAACACTGATAAACCCATTGTCTCACACTCCCTAAGGCTCTTTCCCTCCCTAAACCTATTTTGCCTCATCCATATTCAGATAAACTAAAGCCTCAGTGGTTACAGGAGTGGTAATGTTTTAGTCAGGTGGTTAAGGCCCTTACTGTGCTTTACATCCATACCTACTGTGTGAAAAGCCCTTGTATGTCCAGGCTGTAGAAGTGCAGGGAAACAATGTGCCACATTAGAGAGAAGACAACCACTCTAACCACTAGATGGCAACATTGTTTTTACAGTACAGTCAATGCTTATTCAGAGCTCTTTATTGAAATGAGGCTCAGTATGTACACAATTACAGTACTCAGTGTGTGTGTGTGTGTTTGTTTGTGTGTGTGTGTCTGTATGTGTCAGTTTACTGTGTGTGAGTACAAGCTTGCGCGTATATCATTGGGTAGCGGCTGATTTGCAGAGATTGCACTGTAAAATGGTTGATCTCTGCACACTGCAGGAGAGTGGGATTCTGGGCCAAGAGCCCAGACGTGTGTGTGTGTGTGTCTGTACGTGCGTGCCTGTGTCCGCACATTCAACTGCCTGCTATTTCCTGAGCAATCTGTTTCGACAGATAAACATCAGTTGAACCAGAGAAAACCACAGCAAAACATGGGACTGCTATCAACCAAACCACCCCTTTAACAACTGGTGTTGGGAAAATATTATGTGTGTGTGTGAGTGTGTGTGTGAGTGTGTGTGTGTGTGTGTGTGTGTGTGTGTGTGTGTGTGTGTGAGTGTGTGTGTGTGTGTGTGTGTGCACGGGCGTGTGTGTGACTCACACCAGGCAGAGCACAGCTGAGTTCCGAGTGTGTCATTAACACTTTTGCACCCTGAACCAATCAGATAACCACCTCAATAATCACTATGGTTGTGTACCAGAGTGTCTTTCTTGCAGTCGCACTGCAGTATTTACGGTGTGGGATAAACATGTAGGACCACATAGCCTACTAGTAAGAGATGTCTATAATTGTCACCCATGATAGATACAGTATGTATACCACAGTATACCAAGTTATCTATGGAAGTGTATGAATCGCATATTTGAATGTCATTCATTTTGTATGAGAATACAGATCTCAGATAGCACCTCAGGCTCTAATAAATAAATACAAATGATATGGCTCCTACATCTTCTATGTCCTCTAGTAGAGCTTTCCCCAGAAACTCTGAGCACTAGACAGACAGAAAGGTTGAGTGATGTCCAGTGATGTGCAGAGAAAGCTCTCTTCAGGTCATTGGACTGTCTCTCAGCAGCATCAGGTAACATTTGGAAAATGTTGACGTGGACATTTTCTATTCTAAGGTACTATGACTGGATTGATGTGGGCAAATTGACAGATAAGGTTAATGGAAAATGCACCTTGAAGTCTAAAGTACTTGAAAATAAAATACATTTGTGACTCTCAAGGTTGTTCACATACTGATCTGCACAGATAAAACAACACACAGAGGGGTGTTATTCTCATCATGATTTCCTGTCTTATCCTTTACCCAACATCATCCTCAAATCCTCTTCTCTCTACAAAGAGACTGTGGGGTGTATTGTATAAATGTGAGACCCACTTAACAGAGACCAAGGACAAACCCTGTCACTTGAGACCTGTGTCACCTTGGAAAATACAGTGAGCTACAAAAGTATTGGGACAGTGATCCATTTTTTGGCTCTGTACTCCAGCACTTTGAATGTGAAATAATACAATGACTATGAGGTCAGCTTTAATTTGAGGGTATTTTCATCCATATCGAGTGAACCGTTTAGGAATTACAGCACTTTTTGTACATAGTCCCCCCATTTTAGGGGACCAAAAATATTAAGACAAATTCACTTGTATGTATATTAAAGTAGTCAAAAGATTTGTAAAAATGTAAAAATATATTTCGTCCCATATTCCTAGCGCGCAATGATTACATCAAGCTTGTGACTCTACAAACTTGTTGGATGCATTTGCTGTTTGTTTTGGTTGTGATTCAGATAATTTTGTGTCCAATAGAAATGGTGGCTCTCATAGGGGGCTTAGCAAGCATAAATCTAAAGAAGGTCAAACAAAAGACGCTTGTATGCGATCCCTCACCTCCTGTGGTAAACACAAATGCTGGGTTATCGTTTTTGTCCGCCATGTACAGGTGTGGGATTTAAAAGTATTGTCGCAGAAAAATAGCAACAGAATTGTAATGTTTAGTAAATCCATTCACTCTTTTCCGCCGATGTAATGTTGCTTGATTGGTGGTTAGGCTATCAGCTGGTACAAATTAGGCTACATGAAAAGTGCAGTACTGTTAATTTAACCTTGTGTTAGTGCAGGTTTTCAGTGAATTTATGTAAATCCTTTATGTAAAACAGAGTGATCAAATTAAGAACCTACATCCGGATACTGTCTGTCTATTGTAGCTCCATGGTTTAACCTCAATTATGATTGGTACTGTTGATCCTCACCCTTTGATCTCAATGGATTACAGGCCATGGCATCTTATTGCTGATGACCCTAATGCTTTGACAACTTCTACTGTCAATCTGAAGAGTGTAGATAAAGTGTGACAAAGCAACCCGCAATAACAACACATGCAGTATCTATGGTTTATGACGAGTCACACTCTGTAGAATCTGCATACTGTGACTTGCAATACAATATAATGTGCCAGTTTTTTATCTGAGTTCCTTCATTTCAGCTCATAATGTTCTCCTAGGTTTGAATGAATCACAGTGCTTTGTATGAATCACAGAAAGCCATCAGACGAGAATAATTCATGCTATGCAGATTCCTTCTATCAGGTAGTGTGAACTGTGAAGCCAGAAAAGGAAAACAAATGGGTTTAGGAATGCATTCTAGGTCAAGGTGAGTCTGCGTGTGGAACTGAATATGCAGATATACTGTAGAGTAGGTGTGTCTCAGGGTTGTGTGCGTAGGCGTGTTTGCAGGGCCAGAAAACAAGGAACTGAGCTCTAAAAAGCACCTGTGAATGAACAATAGTGCACTTTGGAACTGCCGATACGCTCTACACTGAATCCACAGTTTTCACAGGGTCAGGTGTGAGCTCCACAGCCAGAGAGGGGTGTTATGGCTAACGTAGAGGTTGCTAAAGCAACAAGAGAACGAAGAAACCAGAGAGGAGCACTGGAACACCATAGACCTGACCCTGTAATATGAAGGTAATACTAGACATGAAATGGGACAGGGCAAGTTACAATGCCTTCCAATCCTTCCAATTACCACATACCTGCATACCTGAATGGCTTTTTTATGTTCTTCAGTTGGTGACAGGTGGTTATACTGTATAAGATAGTTATGGGTTTGAATCCAGATAAGAGTTTCAAAGTGTCCAACAGGTAAAATGTTTTGCTGTGTTGTATATGTACGGTCCCCTGTAGCTCAGTTGGTAGAGCATGGTGCTTGCAACGCCAGGGTTGTGGGTTCGTTTCCCACGGGCGGCCAGTTTGAAAAATGTATGCACTAACTGTAAGTCGCTCTGGATAAGAGCGTCTGCTAAATGACTGAAATGTGTGTTGTATATCCAATTACCATATGGTCCTGTTCCTTTATGTATGTTCTATGTCAGCGTTTCACAAACATGGGGTCGCAAACCCATGTGCAGTCGCCTGATTTGAAAATGGGGTCGTGAGAGAAACTCTGCAAAAATAATAATATTATGTGCTTGGTTCATAGAACCGGGGTTACGTCAGTAACCTCCGGTAGCCGCTAGATGTGGTTGCAATAAACAAAGCGGTTTCTGTTTTCTTCCTACAAATGTGGCTCTATCATTTGAACAGTTTAAGCTCCAAAATATTATGACCCCCATCACTGAAAGATAAGACTCTAAGGAACACGTATGTTTCCCTCTACAATGCGTTCCCCTCTAGAACGCAGGACTCATTAAAACAGAGTGGACAAGACCAGACACTGAATCAGACTGGGGGGAAATAACATAATCAATGAGGATGTTCTTTTCTACATAGAAGATCATACATGATTATTGCCTGATGATCTTCTGAACTCCCCAATGCCTTTCTGAAGCATTTAAGTCACTTCAAATCATACTTCTTTTAGATTTAAATACTGTAAAAAGTCAGACTGATTTGTTATAGACTGTTATAGCCCCAATTTAAAAAAGTAAACATTGGCCACTTTTTTTACATGGTGGGGTATTTGTTTTTTTGTAATATCAAAATTGGTTCGCAGGCCCAAAAAGTTTGGGAACCCCTGTCATATATACAGTATGTACACAGCACAAGAGCTCAAATGCAGCATATGTGGCACTTTCATTTTGCTTGCTGTCGTGAACACAAACATGGATATTAGAGTGCAGGTCTGCAGATTAAACTGTCCCCAAGGGGAAAACAGCTTGACTGAATATCCAAAATGTTGTAAAGTGAAACTTGACCCAAGAGCATTACCTATTGTGACGGATAATGTTCAAGGCACATACAGTGGGGAGAACAAGTATTTGATACACTGCCGATTTTGCATGTTTTCCTACTTACAAAGCATGTAGAGGTCTGTAATTTGTATCATAGGTACACTTAAACTGTGAGAGACGGAATCTAAAACAAAAATCCAGAAAATCACATTGTATGATTTTTAAGTAATTCATTTGCATTTTATTGCATGACATAAGTATTTGATACATCAGAAAAGCAGAACTTAATATTTGATACAGAAACCTTTGTTTGCAATTACAGAGATCATACGTTTCCTGTAGGTCTTGACCAGGTTTGCACACACTGCAGCAGGGATTTTGGCCCACTCCTCCATACAGACCTTCTCCAGATCCTTCAGGTTTCGGGGCTGTCGCTGGGCAATACGGACTTTCAGCTCCCTCCAAAGATTTTCTATTGGGTTCAGGTCTGGAGACTGGCTAGGCCACTCCAGGACCTTGAGATGCTTCTTACGGAGCCACTCCTTAGTTGCCCTGGCTGTGTGTTTCGGGTCGTTGTCATGCTGGAAGACCCAGCCACGACCCATCTTCAATGCTCTTACTGAGGGAAGGAGGTTGTTGGCCAAGATCTCGCGATACATGGCCCCATCCATCCTCCCCTCAATACGGTGCAGTCGTCCTGTCCCCTTTGCAGAAAAGCATCCCCAAAGAATGATGTTTCCACCTCCATGCTTCACGGTTGGGATGGTGTTCTTGGGGTTGTACTCATCCTTCTTCTTCCTCCAAACACGGCGAGTGGAGTTTAGACCAAAAAGCTCTATTTTTGTCTCTTCAGACCACATGACCTTCTCCCATTCCTCCTCTGGATCATCCAGATGGTCATTGGCAAACTTCAGACGGGCCTGGACATGCGCTGGCTTGAGCAGGGGGACCTTGCGTGCACTGCAGGATTTTAATCCATGACGGCGTAGTGTGTTACTAATGGTTTTCTTTGAGACTGTGGTCCCAGCTCTCTTCAGGTCATTGACCAGGTCCTGCCGTGTAGTTCTGGGCTGATCCCTCACCTTCCTCATGATCATTGATGCCCCACGAGGTGAGATCTTGCATGGAGCCCCAGACCGAGGGTGATTGACCGTCATCTTGAACTTCTTCCATTTTCTAATAATTGCGCCAACAGTTGTTGCCTTCTCACCAAGCTGCTTGCCTATTGTCCTGTAGCCCATCCCAGCCTTGTGCAGGTCTACAATTTTATCCCTGATGTCCTTACACAGCTCTCTGGTCTTGGCCATTGTGGAGAGGTTGGAGTCTGTTTGATTGAGTGTGTGGACAGGTGTCTTTTATACAGGTAACGAGTTCAAACAGGTGCAGTAAATACAGGTAATGAGTGGAGAACAGGAGGGCTTCTTAAAGAAAAACTAACAGGTCTGTGAGAGCCGGAATTCTTACTGGTTGGTAGGTGATCAAATACTTATGTCATGCAATAAAATGCAAATTAATTACTTAAAAATCATACAATGTGATTTTCTGGATTTTTGTTTTAGATTCCGTCTCTCACAGTTTGAAGTGTACCTATGATAAAAATTACAGACCTCTACATGCTTTGTAAGTAGGAAAACCTGCAAAATCGGCAGTGTATCAAATACTTGTTCTCCCCACTGTATATGTGATGGTTCATGTATCACATGAGCAGTTTTCTCTTTCCAAGAGAAAAGGTTTAGCCTACAGTTGATGCTTGAATAGTGCTATAAAGTTTCTAGTCTTACTACGTCAACTACCTGGTAGAGTTTCTCACACCACAGATGTTTT